CTCTGCTGGGCAGGTGAGACTCAGATGGAAGGAGAGGGGCCGGACAAAACCAGAGGAACACAGATGGTGGTCTGGCTGGAGGACAGGCATGTCAATGAAGAGACTAGGCTGGTAGAATGAAAGGGGCTGAGTTCGAGAAGGTAGCCAGGGTGGGTCCCGAGAGAAGCGAGGCTAGACCTAAGAGAGAGGAGTGTCGAGTAGGAGGGAGGGGAGTGACAAATGGACAATGCAGTGGCGTTTTTCCCTCCACAGATCGAGGAGGAGGTGGCGAAACTCCTAAAACTGAAGGCACAGCTGGGCCATGATGAAGGCAAACAGAAGTTTGTGCTCAAAACCCCCAAGGTAAACTATTCCTGTGAGAGGCCTTAGAGGGAGGTCCTGTTCACAATCGGTAATATTGCAAAGGAGTCAGTAGTTGGTGTAGGCACTGGGCTGGATTGATCTCAACCTGAGTCATTCGGTGATGACAGAAACAAGGCGGCTCAGCGGAGTCAGCCTGCTAACTGCTACTCATTGCATTCATTACATACACATTGAGTAGGTCTGTGTGTGTGGTACTGTACATTGAATATATACCATACTGGACGCCTGTCTTTGTGATGCTTGATCCCACTGAGACAGATATTTAAGACAATAATTCCACCCAGGGCTATGCAATTACAAAATATAACTGGTGATATGAAGAACGTTATGGCTGGAGAGATGGCTCGGCAGTTAGGGGAGTGCAGAGAATTCAAATTTGAGTCCCTGCACCTACATCAGGTGACTCACAATTGTCTGTAACTCCAACTCCAGGGGGATCTGATGCCTCTGGCCTCAGTAGGCACCTACACCTATACGTTCACATAACATACGTTCACCTATAATCATAACATAGATACACATACACCCACATGTATAAAAGTAATAAAGAAACTTTTAAAAAGAAAGTTACAGAGATGCTCTGAGAAAAATAAGGGGTAGCTGGGGAATCTGAGAAGCCACACTTAAGAAAGTGATATACTGATGTACCTCTCAAGTGGGTAGGACATAGCCAGGGAAAGACTTAGGATAATAGGCTCAGTAGAGTATGGAAACCCTGAAGCAGAAAAGAGCTTTGATATTTACTAGGAACCAGAAGAAGACCTGCACAAATAGAACCAAATAAGGTCAGAGATGCTGAGCTCAGCCTCAGAGCTTCAGTTCTGATGCTGTTCTGTAAGTTCTATAAACAGAACACTGCACCTTCATTGGTTTCTCTTGGCACTTCATATATAGATAGCTCTGTCATTGCACTGATTTTTAATTTTCACTTTGTGTGTGTGTGTGTGTGTGTGTGTGTGTGTGTGTGTGTGTAACTGCAGAAGCCAGGAGAGGATGTCAGATTCCCTGAAGCTGGAGTTACAGGCAGTTGTGAGCCATAGTACCGAAAATTGAACTAATGTCCTCTGGAAGAGCATCGAGTGTGCTTACTTGCTAAGCCATCACTCCTGACCTCTGCAACAACTTTTTAGTGGTTCATGAAGTTTGTTTAGCAGAAGCTAAGACTGAGTGCCTAGAAATAAACATTTATCTAATGAATATATTTTAAGTTGATTTTCAAAGAAGAGAGAAGCCATGTGTGGTGATACACATTCTTTAATCCCAGTACCCAGTAAGCAGAGACAGGCAGATATCTATGAGTTTAGTGATGTTAAGACAGATCATTGTGTTTAAATAAAGAAGGGCTGATCTATCACAAACTCCCCATTTTCTACTTTATTCAATAGCTTCAATCTGAGATTTTATTATATTGAGACAGGGTATCTCTACGAAGCTCTGGCTATGTGGGCCTGTGTGTCCTTGTGTGAGGGGGCAGCTGGAGTTACAGGCAGTTATAAGCTGCCCAGCCTAGGTGCTAGGGACCGAAGTCAGGACAGACTTCGGTGTACAAGTTCCAGGTCAGTGAGGACTACCTGGTAAGAAAATAAGGCCTTGTGTCCAAAAGGTGGGGGAGGGGTGGAGATGGCTGGTATGATTAATTCTTCTGTGTTGAGGTTAATTCTTTCAGCCAAATTCATTTAAGCTGTGCTTTTCTATGCATAAAAAAAAAAACAAAAAAAAACAAACAAAAAAAAAAACCGCAAGTCTGGCCAGCCTCAGACTTGCTATATAACAGAGGTTGGTTTTGAAATTCTGATCCTCTGGTCTCCACCTAACAGGTGCTAGAATTACAGGCATGTTCTACCACCCACACATCCCACATAATTCTTTTTCAAAGGTTGAAGAGAAATTTAAAAATCTCAAAGAAATGGGGGCTGGAGAGATGGCTCAGTATTAAGGGTGCTTGTTGGTGGTCATCTAGAAACCTGAGCTAGGTTCTCAGCACCCACATATAGCAGCTCACACTTCTCTAATACCAGCTGGCCTCCAAGGACAACCACACACATGGCATTAAAGAAATAATAATCAATAATTGCTGGGGGGGGCTTAATGTCTCTGTGTCAATAAAGCAGAAGAACAGACATGTTTCTGTTGATATGATACCATAAAAAGTACACATCACTGTCGATGAGTTCTTGTTAGGGGAATTTGAATCTATTAAGGCCTTCAGACTAAGGTGGAGCTATGCAAAGTAGAGAACAGGTTAAATGGCATATCAGTAGTATTGTTGACTGAGTCCAGAATGTGAAAAACTTTTTAGGACAAATTATCCAGTTTTTTCAACAAATAAATAACATAGAGGGACAGGAATAAGAGTGTGGCTCAGTGTTATAAGGCCTGGGATCTAAACCAGACAACACAAAAGAAGAAAAAAAGGAAAAATGAGAAAGCTGTTTGTGATTAAATTGACATGTCCTCTAAATATAATATGTTTAGAATATGGTTAAGATAATCATAAAAAGATATTAGTGAGATAATTGGGGAAAGTTGAACACACTTGGTATTGGATAGTATTAAGGGATTACTATTGATTGTGGATACCAAAATCTACACCTGAATAGTCCCTTTTAGAAAATGATGTAGTATTTGCATATAACCTATGCAATTCTCTCATGTACTTTAAAGTCATCTCTAGGTTACTAACAGCTAATACAATGTAAGTAGTTATTGTTCAAAGATAATGATGTGAAAAACTATATTATTTAATACAGGCAGAATTTTCTTTTAATCCTAAGTATTTTCAGTGCACAGTTTATGGACTCTGTGGATATGGAACCTGCAGATACAGAAAACCAGCTGTATGTTCCACACTCCGTGCACTCGCTATTAAAAAAGAAAAATGGGGCTGGAAGGATGACTCAGTGGTATTGCTCTTGCAAAGGACCCAGGTTCGACTCCTGGCATCCACAAAGAGGCTCACAACCTGTGGTAACTCCAGTTCCAAGGGATTCAACATCTCTTCTGACTTTGGTGGACACCAGTCATACACATGTAGGCAAAGCACCCATACACATTAAATAAGATAAATCTTTTTTTAAAAAAGTTGAATTTACCTTAAGAATATTTGGGGGGAGGGGCATGTCCCTGGAGAAATTACTGAGTGGTTAAGAGCACTTGCTAGAGGTTCACAACCATTTGTAACTCCAATCCCAGGGCATCTGATGCTCTTTTCAGACTTCCATGGGCACCAGGCATACACATGGTACAAATAGATACTTGCAGGCAAAACACTCATACACATAAATCTAAAAAAATTATAAAGACTGTTCTTTATAGTTAAAATTATTAATTGTATTGATTCTTGACCCTTGCCTATAATAGTTATAGGAAAACGAGTAGGAAGCAAGTACATATATAAAGCATTTCTGCTATAAAGCAGACGTCTGATGGCTTTTCAGAGTTGACTGTCCAGCAGACATTTTGGTGATAATAAAAGAAGTGTTCTTTACCACAAAAGGAAATCTGGAAATCTTCTGGTACTAATATGTTGCTAATGATGAAACTCAAGTATTCATATAAAAGTTTTGGAATCCCTATAAGTCTTTTACCCTGAGCTTGACAACTTCTCGATATTTACATTTTCCTGGTGAGATATGTGGTGGTGTTAATAAATTATTTTTTTGAGTACCATATAATGAGATATGTCAGTATTATGAAGATCTTGTAAGTTACCAATGAGCCAGTGTTTTCTAGATGACCAGTGTAGATGTCATAAAGCCATATATGAGTAAAAGATCCATTCAGCGTATAAGATAGTAGATTTTTTGTTTGTTTGTTTTGTTTTGTTTTTACAAACAGGGTTTCTCAACAGCTCTGGCTGTTCTGGAATTCACTTTGTAAACCAGGCTGACCTAGAACTCACAGATCTGCCTGCCTCTGCCTTTGTTGGGGATTAAAGGTGTGCACCACCACTGCCTGGCTCAATGGTAGATTTTAATGAATAGTTCTGCATCATGAAATATATTATTGTATAATCAGCACTACTCATCTTTTTTTCTTCTTCCAGATAGGGCCTCAGTCTATGGCCTAGGCTGACCTGTAACTCATCACAATCCTGCCTTGGCCTCCCAAGTGTGGAAACAGGAGCTGTTATACCTGCTTTTCCAGAACTTTTTAATCATTCAAAATTGAAACTGTACCCATTTAACAATATTCCCCTTTCCATCCTCCTTTCAACCTATAGGAGATCACTATGCCACTGTCTCCATGTATTTAATAACTCTAGTTACCTTATATGACTGAGAATAGTGCTTGTTTAGTTTTGTTTTCTTGAGACAAACCAAACTGGTTTGAACCTATGTTGATACTCCAGCCTCTCCCTCCCAAACACTGCTATTATGGGCATGCACCACCCGCCCAGTTGACTAGTGCTTGTAAATGTAACAATATGAAAAAATCCATTGCTGTCGCTTTCAGATTGCATATTGCAACCAGTCTGTAAGAAACAAGCACTAGTTGGATTTTGGTGTAGCATCAAAAAAGAATATCCACAGTTGAGAAGCTCATTAGAATAAGAACACACCTATGTAAGATTAGAGTTTCTTCATATTTTTCAACCAGATGAATATACAACAATAGAAATTTAATACAAGCCAGGCATTGGTGATGCACGCCTTTAATCCCAGCACTCGGGAGATAGAGGCAGGTGGATCTCTGTGAGTTTGAGAACAGCCTGATTTACAAGAGCTAGTTCCAGGATAGCCTTCAAAGTCTCGAAAAAAAAAAAATTAATACAAAAAGCACATAGGAAAATTGGCTGACTTTTACTAAAGAAAACATTGAAGATTTGCAGAAATGGGGCTGGAGAGATGGCTCAGCTGTTAGGAGCATTTGCTGCTCTTCCAGAGGACCTGGGTTTGATTCCTAGTACCAGCATGGCAGATTACAACTACTTATAACTCCAGTTCCAGAGGATCTGACATCCTCTGCTGGCCTCCATGGGTACCAGACATGGCAGTGATGCATGGACATACGTGCATGAAAAGCTCCCATACACATAAAAAAAAATAAGATTGAAAGCAAGATTTACAAAAATATAATTGAATAATTGACTTAACTCTTTTTGTTTCACTTTTTAATTCTCTCAGATTATTGCCTAGATCTTTCTTTTTTTTTCTTCGAGACAGGGTTTCTCTGTGTAACAATTCTAACTGTCTTAGAACTCACTTTGTAAACCAGGCTGACCTCAAACTCACAGACATCAACCTGCCTCTGCCTCCCAAGTTCTAGGATTTAAAGAAGGCATGCGCCACCAATGCCCAGGCTCTCAAAATATTATTTGTGTTAATTTGTAATGATACATTGATAAATTTCTGCACTTTTAATTTGGAATGTTGCAAACATACATAGAAATAATATACTTTGAATTGATAGTAGCTAAGAGTGTGAAAAGGTCCTTCCACCAAAGGTTTTGAAGCATGGTTATAATGGCCCAGACTAAAAACTCTGACCTAGATGGGAGACCTACAGACTTTCTAAGTCCTCTTAGGTAGTAACTTAACTTTTTCAAGGCAAGGTTTCTCTGTAGCCTTGGAGTCTGTCCTGGAACTAACTTTGTAGACCAGGCTAACCTCGAACTCAAAGAGATCCTCCTGCCTCTGCCTCCCGAGTGCTGAGATTAAAGGCGTGCGCCATCGCCACCCAGCCATAACTTGACTTCTTGACAGCCTATAGTTTAGCTATAAAATGTATCTGCCAGACCTGGATTAGAACTTTTTTTCCTTCTTAAGAAAGGGTCTCACTATTATGGCCCAAGCTGGCCTTGAATTCAGAGATCCATATTCCTCTGCTTCCAAGTGCCACCATAGCCAGTTTCATTAGAGCTGTTTATTGGAAACAATTTTGTTAAATAGAATTTGAAAGAAACTTATGCTGAAAAATTGCATGTAAACATTTGAATTCAATCTGTTGAACCACTTTGAATTGACAATATGCTTGTCTGGTAGGTATTGTCTGCTATACAAGCAAATGTTATTCCTGTGTTTTCAGAAAACTTTCGTTGAGAAAATGGTTCTGAATTCTGTGAATCAGAGCCTAGCCCGCTGATGGCAGTGACTCTTGGGACTGACAGGGCTTGTTCTGAGCCGTCTTCCCACTTGGTGGCCTGTAGGAAGACCCATGCTTGCAGCATCATTTGTGTTCCTTGTTGCTGAGCTAGACTTTGGATAGCTCTGCAGTTTATTGTTCTTTGTTTTAATTTAGTTTATGTGTGTTGGTGTTTTGCCTGCATGTGTATATGTGTGAGTGAGGGTGTGGGGTCCCCTGGAGCTGGAGTTACAGGCAGGTGGGACCTGCCATGTGGGTGCTGGGAATTGAACCCGGATCCTCTGGGAGAGCAGCCAGTATGTTTTAACCGCTGAGCCATCATCCCTCCAGCCTGTTGTTGTTTGTTTTAAATGTCATCCTTGAGTTTTGTTTTTGACTCTGAAGGGCACAAGAGACTACAGTCCCCGGCAGATGGCAGTTCGGGAAAAGGTGTTTGACGTCATCATCTGCTGCTTCAAACGCCATGGGGCAGAAGTGATTGACACTCCTGTGTTCGAGCTAAAGGTGAGAGGTGGGAAAGGAGAAACTGAATAGTGGAGCTGTGCACTTGTGAGCATACAAGAGGACAGTGAAGGGGTCTAAGGTTACTAAGGTTAGAATTTCAACACATCACTGAGGCCAGCAGAGTCCAGTCTGTGACACCCCCAAAATTCAAATGTTTAGGTCCACACACTGAGGATTTTAAAGCTTTTTAAATCTTGGCCAATTTGGTCGGATATATTATAACCAGTTGAAGACATCAGAAGGCATAGACTGTTGTAACATCCTGAAGACATTCTATTTTGGTTTCTGACATTGTTCAGTCTGAGATGTTATAAAAGCATCTACGTTTGCTAACCTGATAATGCATTCCTGCAAGCTTATCTCCAAGAAAAATATTTCAGACCAGAAAGCTGTGTGCACAGATATGACTGCTGACATATTTTGGAATGTATTTTAATTGGAACAACATAAGCATCTATTAGGATGCTGTTAGCAAACAAAGTGCAGAGCTGTGTACTGTTGTTGTGAGACAGACTCATTCTAACCAGGCTGGCCTTGAACCACAAGCCCTGTGCAACAGTTGTAGGTGTATCTCACTGCCCCAAGAGTCTAACTTTTTTATTTATTTACCTTTTACATCTTTTTTATTTATTTACCTTTTAATGATGGGGGTTAGATTTACTTTTAATTATGTGTTATATGTGAATGTATGTACATGAGTACAGGTGCCCGAGGAGGCCAGAAGTTATAGGATCCCCAGGAGCTGGAGTTATAGTACGTGGTGAGCTATGAATCGAACTAGGGTCTTCTGCAAGATCGGTACAAACTCCTAACTACTTTTTTGGGGCTGTAGAGATGGTTCAGCTGTTAGAACACTTGTTGCTTATGCAAAGGATCTGGGTTCAGTTCCATCATCCATATGGTGACTCAAAACTATCTGTAACTCTAGTTCCAGGGGATCCAAATTATCTTCTGACCTCCACCCGACATGCATGCGACAGACATACACACATACACAAAACATTCAAACACATAAATTTTTTTTTTATTTTAAATAATACCTTAAGACTGACCAAGATGGCTCAGCTTGGGTAAAGACATTTACTACCAAGGCTGATAACCTGAATTTAATCTTCAGAACTCACAAGATGGAAAAAGAGAACCAACTCTCACAAGTTATCCACTGACTTTATGCATGCCATGGCATATGATCGCACACGATATAAGTAAATGATTGTTTTCTCAAAGAATAAATGAAAAGTAATACTTTTGGGAGATGGGGGTGGCACACACCTTTAATCCCAGCACTTGGGAAGCAGAGGCAGGCAGATCTCTGTGAGTTTGAGGCCAGTCTGGTCTCCAGAGTAAGTTCTAGGACAGCCAGAGCTACACGGAGAAACCCTGTCTCAAAAAATGAAACAGGGCAAAAAGTAATTATTAAGCTTTTCCACAAAACAGGAAGAAAAAAAAAAGCAGAATATCAATAGAAAATTGTTATTCCCTTTTATTTTTGTTTTGTTTTGTCTTTTTGAGACAGGGTCTCTCTATGTAGACCAGGCAGGCCTTGAACTCACAGAGATTTCCCTGCCTGTACCTTCTTTGTCCTGGGATAAAAGGTGTGCCTGTTGCACTTTTTTTTATTGTAACTATATCAGACTTGTAAGCATTAGGATAAAAAGCAGAATGATTATAGAACTATCAAAAGTTGAAATTAGTCATGTTAGAGTCGTAAGTTTTTATGTCCATAATAGTCTTTTAAGGGCTGGGAATACAGATCAGTGATAGAGTGATTGCCCACCAAGTACGAAGTCTAGGTTCAGTCCCTAGCATCACGAAATAATAATGTAATAATGATAATGAAGTAGTTTCTATCCAGGCGAGGTGGCTAAAGCCTTTAATCCCAGCGTTCTGGAGGTAGAAGCAGATAGATTTCCCTGGAAGCTCAAGGCCAGCCAGGGATACATAGTAACAACCTGTCTCAAAAAAAAAAATAAAAAATAAAAGGTATAGTTTATTATGATGATCAAGTTTCTTCTTCTTTTCTCCAGGAAACACTGACTGGAAAGTATGGAGAAGACTCAAAGCTCATCTATGACCTGAAAGATCAGGGTGGGGAGCTACTGTCCCTTCGTTATGACCTCACTGTATCCTTCTGAACTTCGTTCTTAAGACTTTGGATGATTGGCACTCACAGGGGTTGAGCTTGGGTTTAGGGACAGCAGGCATAGGTAAGATTAAATATGAAGCCATTTACAATTAAGATTTATTTTCTAACACAAGATAAAGGACTTTGGCTAAGCAGAATATAGCCTTAGAAATCATCTTTCTGTCAGGGCCCCGTTCCCAGTTTACAACAATCTCCTGGCTCAAGAATAGCTCTCCCATGCCCTCCCAGTAGACAGAATTTTCTGTAATTGACCAATCTTTCCTTTATCTCCAAGTATCTCAGTTAGTGTTCTAGTTCTGTGAAGAGACACCATGACCAAGGCAGCTCTTATAAAAGAAGGCACTTAATTGGGGGCTTTTTTACAGTTTATAGACGGTCAGTCTGCTATCATCATGCCAGGGAGCATGGTATCACAAAGGTATGATGCTGGAGAAGTAGCTGAGAACTTTACATCCTGATCCACAAGCAGGAAACTGAGAGACACAGACAGACAGACTGGGACCAGGGTGCGATTTTGAAACTTCAAAGCCTACTCCCAGTGACACATCTCCTCCAAAACTACCTAATCCTTCCAAACAGTTAATCACTTGGGAGTCAAGCGTGCAAATACACAAGTCTGTGAGGACCAGTTTTATTCAGACCACCACATCAAGCCACTCTGAGAATCATCCATTCAGGGATTCCACACACCCTTAACCTGATCTGTCTAATCTGCCAAGTCCTCCTCTCACCCCTAGTCAGCATAGTCCAGGGGAAACAGGAGCAAAAGGGAAAGGAAGGAACCTTAGTCTTTTTTCATGCTCAGCTGCCTCGTATAATTACACACTTAATTCTTCTGACGGTCAGAAGTGCTGTCACTCTTACAGGGAGTGGTTTTATCTATATAAGCAGGTTAGACCCCAGCTTCTGTGGGTGACAGTGACTTCCAGCAGCCACAGGAGGCCTTTTCCTTAACGCTTTGTTATCAGGTCCCTTTTGCACGGTATCTGGCAATGAATAAGCTGACCAACATTAAACGTTACCACATAGCAAAGGTGTATCGCCGGGATAACCCTGCTATGACCAGAGGCCGTTAGTGTGAATTCTATCAGTGTGTGAGTGTTAGAAAAATGTGGAGCATGATGGGTAACTCAGGCCTTCTCTAAGAGGCTCTACCAAATGCTATAATATCCTGAACAAACTGGATGGCCTCAAAAATGCTCTTATATTTCTATGATATTTTCATGTAAGCTTCATAATGGCTTAGTGAAGATGAAGAATAAGACAATCAAATATGGGGTTTGGGGCCTGTGTAGTTTTAGGTATTTTGGGGGTGTGGGGGGTTGGGTT